TCCCAGGCTCCAGGGAGCCTGCTTTGCCCTTTGCCTATCTATGTCTCTGCTTCTCTCTGTGTGTCTCTCATGAGTAAATAAATAAAATATTTTTTAAAAAGACTGTTTTTATGATCTCCCTCAAATCCCAATCCTCCTTTACCTTCCTTATTTTTTCCATACTGCTATCAGCTAACATATAATTTACTCATTATTTGTTGTGGTTTTTTGACTGTCTTGACCCACTAGAAGTAGGCTCCATGAGAGCAAGGATCTTTGTTTTATTTTCTGGATTTTCCTAGGTACTTAGAACAGTGCCTAATTTATAACAGGACTTTACAACTCAATGACTTGGTTTCTGGAGGTACACTTGTGTGTGTGTGTGTGTGTGTGTGTGTGTGGACAATATTGTATATACAATATTAAATATATAATAGATTATATAGACAGTTGTAAGTGCCAAAGAGGAAATGAAGCAGGGGAAGGGGGATAAATAATGTTTCAGGGAGAGTTGTTGAAATTTTAGACTGAGGAAGGAGTTTAGGGAAAAGATGAATTTAGAGTAAGGTGTTGGATGGAGTGAGTGTACTTACTTGAAGTAAGCAAGTGGATATCTGGAGGAAAAACATTCCAGCCTGAGGAAATGACCAGTACAAAGACACTGAAGTAAGATTATGTCTGATGTCCTCAAAGGAAAAACAGGTAGTTCAATGTGGCTGGATCACAGAGGAGGGAAGAGTAGCAGAAAATAAGGCCAAGAGAGGTAAGTAGAAGAGAAATGGCCAGATCATGTAAGGACTAAAGGTCATAAAAATGACTTATTTTCCCCTGAGTGAGGTGGAAATGCATGTAAGGGTTTGAGGTGAAAAGTGACATGAACTGACTTATATTTAACAGGATTATTCTTGCAACTGTGCTGAGAATAGATTAGAGAAAAGCAAGAGCAAAAATAGTGACACCAGCTAGGAATCCACCATAATAATCTATGTGTAAGATAATGGTGGCTTGGACTAGAGTGGTAGTAGTAGGGGTGGTAAAAAGGATTGTATCCCAGAAATGTTCCAAAGGTAAAGTCAGTAGAATTTGCCAATAGACTGAGTGTATGATGTAAAAGAAACATAGAAATTGTTTTTTGGTTTGAGAAACTGGAACAATGAAGTTAGCATCATCCAAGATGAGGAAGGAAGAAAAAAACAGGTTGAAGGATAAGGTCAGGAGTATGGTTTTAGATATGTTAGTTTGAGATACCTATCAGTAATGTCACATACACAGTTGCGCAACGAGTCTGGCATTAAAGGGAGAAGTCCAGGCTAGAGAATCATAGCTTATTGATGGATTTTAATATCATATAATTGGGCACTTTTTTTGTGTCAGATTCTGGTGTTGATAAAAGCAGACACAGGGCAGCCCAGGTGGCTCAGCAGTTTAGCGCTGCCTTCAGCCCAAGGTGTAATCCTGGAGACTCGGGATCAAGTCCCACATCGGGATCCCTGCATGGAGCCTGCTTCTGCTTCTCCTTCTGCCTGTGTCTCTGCCTCACTCTCTCTCTCTGTGTCTCTCATAAATAAATAAAATCTTAAAAAAAAAAAAGCAGACACAATAACACCACTATTGAGTACCATATTGTGCTTTGGGTAAAGCATTTCTTCCAAATGATCTTTTCATCTTCATGGCAGCAAGACATGATGGATTGCCACCACCCCACCCCACCCCCATCTCATTTGTAGGTGAGAAGATTGAAGCTGGGACTGAGGGCCCAGTAAAGTGATATGGCCACACCTGTAGAGCCAGTAAGGAAAGCTGGGATTCAAATCAAGGCCTGTAATCCCAAAATCAATACTTTTAACCAGCAACTTATGCTAACTTTATAAACTAGCTTCTTGTCTTATTCTAAGTCCTGGGACAGATTATATAAAAATGAGAATGATCTGTTCTTTGAAATCACAAAAACCTCACCAGAAAAAAAACCCATTGGTAACAAAAGTTCAATATTTAAAGTTGAAAATATAAAGAGATAATGGCTTGGTGATGGAGTAAACATTTTAGCTGTAACTGCTTCTACTTAAAATTATGAGGTCTTCAATGGAAAGCATGTGAGCCATTACTCTGTTAATCTAGCTTATCCCCATGTTCTACTTGTCTCCTATCATTTCTGCCTCCAACATTATGTGGAACTGTCGTCTTTACTTCCATAGCCATTGCCCTGGGCTAGGTTGCCATCATGTTAGCCTGGATGACTGCAATACTGTTCAAGAGTGGCCCTTTCCTGCTTTCTTTATTGTGTCATTTGTACTCATTTTGTACACACCAGCCAGAGGGATTTCTTTCCTTTCCTTTCTTTCTTTTTTTTTTTTAATATTTTATTTATTTATTCATGAGAGACACACAGAGAGGCAGAGGGAGAAGCAGGCTTCCCTCTGGGAAGCCTGACGTAGGACTTGATCCTAGGATCCTAAGATCATGATCTGAGCCACTGAGACATCCAGGTGTTCCCAGAGGGATTTCTTTTCAAAATGGTCTGTGTATTGACTGTTTTACAACAGAACGCTGTCCAACACAGGACATGATTGCTAAATATTCAGCAGCACATAATAGTGCAAGATGCTTCATTGCAAAGGAAAACATAATTTTTTTGTAAGATTTTAATTATTTATTCATGACAGACACACAGAGAGGGAGAGAGAGAGGCAGAGACACAGGCAGAGGGAGAAGCAGGCTCCATGAAGGGAGCCCAACATGGGACTCAATCCTAGGTCTCCAGGATCCGGCCATGGGCTGAAGGCGGCGCTAAACCACTGAGCCACCTGGGCTGCCCAGACACAAGGATTTTAATCATGTTTCACATGGCAATAATATCAGCACTCTTGTGGCACATGTGTCATAATTGTCTGCTTACAGGTGCTTTCTCTAGGTGGAGAGGAAGAGGGTTTCATGTTTTTTATCTCGAACATCTGGCATGATAGAAGTGGCCAACTTCTCTGCTAAAGAAACAAAGTCCAACTTGCAGAAACAAAAATATTTAAGTCAAAGTAAAAATTAAGAAGGAAATGTTATTGCAACCTAAACTTAATGCAGGGCTCTCATTAGAAAGGGTTTAAGTTGAAATTTTACAAGATTTAAAAATACACACATACACACACACATTTATTTTTAAAAAGATTTAGAAATAACTGTGTAAAATTTTTCCTGGATTGCATGCATATATAAATTCCAAAAAGTGAAATTATGCATGCTTCCTGTCCTTAACTAAGTAGTAGTAAAAACAGGGGTTTCTGGGTGGCTCAGTTCATTGAGTGTCCGACTCTTGATTTCCGCTCATGTCGTGGTCTCAAGGGTCCTGGGATCCAGCCCCGAGTGGGACTATGTGTTAAATGTGGAGTCAACTTGAGTTTCTTCCTCTCCCTCTGCCTGCAGTCACACACTCTTCTATCAATAAAAATAAAATCTTGGGCAGTCCTGGTGGCCTAGTGGTTCAGCGCTGCCGTCAGTCCAGGGCCTGATCCTGGAGACCCGGGATCGAGTCCCACGTTGGGCTCCCTGCATGGAGCCTGCTTCTCCCTCCGCCTGTGTCTTTGCCTCTCTCTCTGTGTGTCTTTACTTTGGAGGGCAGGCCAAAAATCCTAATCGATTTACCAGTGGATCTTCATCTGCTGTGATTGTGGAAGCTCTTTCTTCTTAATTCTGTTCAGCTCTGGCGGCAGGCGGCGGCCTCCGGGGCGGCCTCTAGGCGTGGGCCGGGCGGGGGGAGCCGGGGCTGCAGCCGGGGCCACCGCCGCCCTCCGGCTTCGCCCCCACACGCGGAAAACGTAATTTTTGAAAAATAAACACTTAAATGCAATATAGGATCCTACAAAAGGCATTACACCAAGTGTTTTGTGTTTTTTTAAAAGATGTTATTTATTTAATCATGAGAGATACACAGAGAGAGAGAGGCAGAGGCACAGGCAGAGGGAGAAGCAGGCTCCATGCAGGGAGCCTGCAGTGGGATTCAATCCCGGGTCTCCAGGATCACGCCCTGGGCCAAAGGTGGCGCTAAACCACTGAGCCACCTGGGCTGCCCACACCAAGTGTTTTTTAACTGCTCTTTCTCCTTTATCAGTCTTTGATGGAATGTGATTATTTTCCCAGACTACTCTTCCCAACTCCCAATCTACAGTTCAATATACAGGATCTTTAATTTCAATGGTACTATAATGGATCATAAGAGGCCCCATATTCTAGTGCTTTCACTAGCAGAGGGGAATGAAGAAGCATATCATGAATATGTTAATATACTTGTTCCGTCTTACTAATCTTTTCTCTCTGGGGCCTAACATAGTGAGTAGCCTCTATTAAATGCTCAATAAATATCCACTGAATGTTATTAAATGAATATGGCATTATTTTGTGGAAATAATCTAATATTCTCTAAGATATAAACTAAAGGCTTCAAGAATAGTGCTTCTGTATTAAATTAGGTAATAATAGATTTTCTTAAAATGTGATTTTTGATTTTTTTACTTTAACATATTTTTTTTAAGGCAAGACATCATTTTTTTTAAAGGTTTTATTTATTTATTCATGAGAGACAGAGGTGGGGGGCAGAGACACAGGCAGAGGGAGAAGCAGGCTCCATGCAGTGAGCCCGATGTAGGACTTGATCCCAGGACTCCAGGATCACACCATGGACCAAAGGCAGGTGCTAAACTGCTGAGTCACCTAGGGATCCCCTCCTCTAACGTATTGATTTGCTTTTTCATTCTTGACAGCTGATTTTTGTTTTTAATTTTTATTTATTTATGATAGTCACAGAGTGAGAAAGAGAGAGAGGCAGAGACATAGGCAGAGGGAGAAGCAGGCTCCATGCACCGGGAGCCCGACGTGGGATTCGATCCCGGGTCTCCAGGATCGCGCCCTGGGCCAAAGGCAGGCGCCAAACCGCTGCGCCACCCAGGGATCCCTTGACAGCTGATTTACAATAATTTCCACTCATTATATATTTTTCCTATTATCTAAAAATGTCAATTTTTCTCAAAGTTTACCTTGAAGCATGACCAAAGACTGTCGAAGTCGGCTGTTTTCTTTCCGGGTGTTTGTTAATTTTTGTTTCAGGCTTTTTATTTTCATGCACAATTCCTCCTTTGACAAGTCTGCTAAAGGCTCTTCATCCTCACTGGAGCTCTCACCAGGCAGAAAGGCATTTCCTGAAAATGGGTCTCTCTAAAATACAAGGCAGGTACAACAAAAGAAGCTTCAAAGTGACTTTAGTGGTTTATCCTATGTTCTGCATGCTGAAGGGACTTAATCAGACCTACAAATCCCTCATCTCCCAGGCCTTTACTGCTCCAGATGAAGAGTTGCCCTATCTACTGAACTAGCCTCAGCTTTGTCTTCCCATCTCCAGGGGGGCTCAGAAAAAGGAAAGGAATCAAAGTTTCATGCACACATCTGTCACATAGCAGAAATCAGGATTCTTTCTAACTTCAGTGAAGAATATAAAGTAGGAAAATAGTTTAACAGAGAAGAATCAACCTGCCATTCAAATTTTTGTAACTCATCTCACCCTCCATACCCCCCCTAACTTTTTACTCACAGCCTTTCTATTAAGACTGTGAGAAATTTTGGGGTTTATTGCATCAGAGAAAGAGAAGATTCACCTAGAACAAAGCATTCATGCTTTCCTTTTAATTTTAGAAGTAATTTTTAAGGTCAATAGCAAGACAATAGTCTGAAAACATATGCATTTGAATTGTAAAACCCAGGCTGTGTTGAGACAGAAAATGATTTCCTCAAATTACCAAGCTTGTTTGCATATATATATATATATATATATATATATATATATGAAGAGATCGAAAAAGCTGGAGTATAAAGTTTTTATTTTTCATTTTTATTTTACTTATTTTTTTAAAAAAGATTTTATTTATCCAGGAGAAAGAGGGAGAGCATGAGTTAGGTGGGGGGTGGGTGAGAGGAGGGAGAAGGAGAGGGAGAAGCAGATTCCCAGCTAAGCAGGGAGCCCAATATGGGGCTTGATTCCAGAACCCCCAAGATCATGACCCAAGCTGAAGGCAGATCCTTAACAACTGAGGCCATCCAGGTGGCCCTGGATTATAAATTCTTAAAAATAAACTTTAGAGTGGAAGAGATGAAGATATGACATAAAAAAAGTTTCTGTTGCACAGGAAGGGAAGAGACATTCTGGTGTCAGGAAAAGCCTGGAAAATAAGGATCTGGAATGGCAGGAAATCAAATTCAAGTGTCTTTGCTCTTCATGATCCTATTGTTTCCAGGGAAGGGAGATGCATCACAGGGGTAAGGATATATGATAGAAACATTCATATCAACGAGGAGCAATCCTAGAACAACAGGGTTGGCTCCTTGCTTCTCAGTGCATTAAAAACTCCCTAAAGAGGCCCCATGTCCAGCATTACATCAGGGCAACATGGTGCCTCTCTGAGTTATAAATCAGAAATGTCCAAAATTAGTATCTAGATAGCTGGACAAGAGAAAGCAACCAGACTCTTCAGAGTTTTTGCAAAGCAAGTAAAGACTCCAAATAGTCCTTGTGTCCTGGTCAGGAGACAGATAGGTGCTGAGGAAACTGGTTAAGCAGAAATAGTTTAGTGTGTAGACAGAGAAGCCACACAATGCCAGAACCTTATAGAAGATGGCAGTGGGCCTCACCCCTGCTGGCAAAGAGAGCCTCTGTGGACAAATGAACTGAAGGAAGAAGAGGCCAACACTCAACTATAGAGCACATGCAACACACATAAGAGATACTCTGTGAAGTGCTAGGTCCTGGGGAACAGAGGACGCTTCACAGCAGGGCACTACAGGACCTCTTCTTCATAAGACTATTATTGTTAACAGCAAGAAAGAGAAATAGCTGACTTTCCAAACACAGAGACACAGACACAGAGAGTTAGACAAAATGAAGAGACAGAGGAGTATGTCCCAAATGAAAGAACAGGACCAAACCATAGCAAGAGACCTAAGCAAAATGGATATAAGTAATATGCCTGGAAGATATTTTATTTTATTTTATTTTGCTTTGTTTTGTTTTCCTGATAGAGATTTTAAAGTAATTACCATAAAGATACTCACTGGACTTGAGAAAAGAGTGGAGGACATCAGTGAGACCTTTAACACAGAGATAGAAAAGAATCAATCAGAGATCAAGAATATAACAAATGAAATTAAAAATACACTTGATGGTTGGGGCACCTGGGTGCTCAATCAGTTAAGCATCTCTCAGCTCAGGTCATGATCCCAGGGTCCTGGGATCAAGACCCACATCAGGCTTCCTGCTGAGTGGGGAGTCTACTTTTCCTGCTCTCTCTGCCCTTCCCTCTGCTTATGTGCTCTCTCTCCCAAATAAATAAAAAATCTTTAAAAAAATACACTTGATGGAATAAATAACAGACTAGATGAAGAAGAGGAATGAATTAATGACCTGGAAGACCGAGTAATGGAAAGTAACCAAGCTGAGCTAAGGAGAAGAAAGAAAATTATGCAAATTGAGAACAGTCTCTGGGAAATCAGCGACTCTCATCAAGCATAATAAAATTTTCATTAGAGGGATCTCAGAAGAAGAGAAAGAAAATGGGCAGAAAAATTTATCTGGAATCCGAGTGGGGCGAGCAAGCTAAGTAGTTGTGTGGTCACTTCTTGGAGACTGGTAGCGCTTGCAGCATGGCTGATCAATTGAGGAGCAGACTGCAGAATTCAAAGAAGCTTTTTCACTATTTGACAAGGATGGTGATGGAACTATAACAACAAAGGAATTGGGAACTGTAATGAGGTTTCTTGGGCAGAATCCCACAGAAGCAGAGTTACAGGACATGATTAATGGAGTAGATGCTGATGGTAATGGCACAATTGACTTCCTGGAATTTCTGACAATGATGGCAAGAAAAATGAAAGACACAGACAGTGAAGAAGAAATTAGAGAAGCATTCCATGTGTTTGATAAGGATGGCAATGGCTATATTAGTGCAGCAGAGCTTTGCCATGTGATGACAAACCTGGGAGAGAAGTTAACAGATGAAGAGGTTGATGAAATGATCAGGGAAGCAGATATTGATGGTGATGGTCAAGTAAACTATGAAGAGTTTGTACAAATGATGACAGCAAAGTGAAGACATTGTACAGAATGTGTTAAATTTCTTGTACAAAATTGTTTATTTGCCTTTTCTTTGTAACTTATCTGTAAAAGGTTTCCCCCTGCTGTCAAAAAATATGCATGTATAGTAATTAGGATTTCATTCCTCCATGTTTTCTTCCCTTATCTTACTATCATTGTCCTGAAACCTTATTTTAGAAAATTGATCAAGTAGCATGTTGCATGTGGCTTACTCTGGATAGATTTAAGCCCTTCTGCACATCTAAACTTAAATGGAGTTGGTCAAATGAGGGAATATCTGGGTTATGCCTTTTTCTTAAGTAGTTTTCTTTAGGAACTGTCAGCATGTTGTTTTTGAAGTGTGGAGTTGTAACTCTGCGTGGACTATGGACAGTCAACAATATGTACTTAAAAGTTGCACTATTGCAAAACGGGTGTATTATCCAGGTACTCATACACTATTTTTTTTGTACTGCTGGTCCTGTACCAGAAACATTTTCTTTTATTGTTACTTACTTTTTAAACTTTGTTTTAGCCACTTAAAGAAAATCTGCTTATGGCATAATTTGCCTCAAATCCATTCCAAGTTGTATATTTGTTTTCCAATAAAAAATCACAACTTACCCCCCCCCAATAAAAAAGAAAAATTTATTTGAAGAAATAATAGCTGAAAACTTCCCTAATTTGGGGAAGGAAATGGATATTCTGATCTGGGAGGTACAGAGATCCCTGCAAAAATCCAACCCAAGGAGGTCTGTACCAAGACATGTAGTAATTAAAGAGGCAAAAAGTAATGATAAAGAAAAAATATTTCAAAGCAGCAAGAGAAAAGAAGACAGTCACATACAAAGGAAACTCCATAAGGCTATCAGTGGATTTTTCAGCAGAAACTTTGCAGGCCATTTGGGAGTGGCATGATATATTCAAAGGGCTGAAAGGAAAAATCTGAAGCCAAGAATATTCTATTCAGCAAGGCTATTATTCAGAATAGAAGGAGAGATAAAGAGTTTCTCAGACAAACAAAAAATAAAGAGGTTCATGACCACTAAACCTTCCCTAGAAGAAATATTAAAGAAGACTCTTTAAATGGAAAGGAAAGACCATAAATGAGAGTATGAAAAGTAAAAAATACAAAGCAGTATAAGTAAGTATTTTTGTAAAAACCAGTGAAGGATATTCATAAAATGAAAGGATAATATGACACCATATACCTAAAATGAGGGGAGAAGAGTAAAGAATGGTTTCAAAATTAAGCAATCATCAACCTAATATAGGGTTTTCTATGCAGAAGATGTTATATACAAACATAATGGTAACCACAGATAAAAAACCAGGAAGATATGTAAAGAATAAAGAGAAAAGAATCCAAGTGTATCACTAAAGGAGGCCAACAAATCATGAAAGAGAACAAGAAAAGAAAGGATCAGAGAAAATCTAGGGAAAACACAAAACAAACAATAAAATGGCAATAAATACATATCTAAAAATAATTACTTTGAATGTAAAGGGATTTAACATTTCAGTCAAAAGAAATGGGGTGACAGAATGGATAAAAAATAAGACCCATCTATTTTCCACCTACAAAAGACTCATTTCAGACCAAAAGACAGCTGCAGATTGAAACTGAGGGGATGGAGAAACATTTATCATGCAAACAGATGTCAAAGGAAAGCCAGGTAGCAATCCTTATACTTGACAAAATAGACTTTAGAATAAAAACTGTAAAAAGAGACAAAGAAGGACACTTTGTTTGTCTTTGACACTTTGCTTCCATATAATAATAATGGAAACAATCCAACAAGAGGATACAATTGTAAATATTTATACACCCAACATTGGAACACCCAAGTACATAAAACAGTTAATAACAGAACTAAAGGATATAATCAGTGGTAATATAATAGTAGGGGACTTTAACACCGCACCTGCACTGATGGACAAACTATCCAAACAGAATATCAACAAAGAAACAGTGACTTTGAATGACACACTGGACTAGATGTACATAACAGACATATTCAGAATATTCCATTTTAAAATAGCAGAATATATATCCTTTTCAAGTGTATATGGAATATTCTCCCAAACAAATCACATATTAGGCCACAAAACAGGTCTCAACAAGTTAAAAAAAATCAAAGTCCTGTCATACATCTGTTCTGACCACAACACTATGAAACTAGAATCAACCACAGGAAAAAAATCTGGGAAGAGCACAAATACATAGAGGTTAAATAACATGCTATTAAACAATGAATGGATCAAACAAGAAATCAAATAATAAATTTAAAAATTACATGGAAATAAATGAAAATGAAAACACAATGGTCCAAAATCTTTGGGATGCAGCAAAAGTAGTGTTGAGAGGGAAGTTTACAGCACTACAGGTCTACCACAAGAAGTAAGAAAAACCTCAAAGAAACAACCTAACTTTACACCTAAAGGAACTAGAAAAAAAAAGAACAAACAAAACACTAGCCCAGCAAAAGGAAGGACATAATAAAGATTAGAAGAGAAATAAGTGATCTAGAAACTGAAAAAACAATAGAACAGAGTAATGAAACCAGGAAGTGGTTCTTTGAAAAGATCAACAAAATCAATAAACCTCTAACCAGACTCATAAGAAAAAAAAGATAAAGAGGGGATCCCTGGGTGGCTCAGCGGTTTGGCGCCTGCCTTTGGTCCAGGGTATGGTCCTGGAGTCTCAGGATCGAGTCCCGTGTCAGGCTCCCGGGAACTTTGGTGTGCATCCATGACTTCTTGTCAGTGGTAGTCAGTTTGCAGAGATGAAGGTTTTCTCCTTCAACCTACACTTAGAATGCAGTCTACAGTTTAAATTTACTGGTAATCAGTAATGTTAAATCATCAAGCTTTGGAAAAAGCCAATTATTTTTATGTCTAAATAGCAAGAGGTAAGACTGTGACCTCAAGGCTTTCTCAAGAGCTTCTCTTGATATCCATTGAGATCCATCCCAACAGTAAGCATCAACTTCCGTGTGTTACCTTCAGCCTTATTGTTTCACATGGCCACTAGGTAACATCCATAACTTGGAGAGAAAAGAGGCTGAGTGTAGATGCAGCTCCACAATGTTGAGGATGTCTCTTATCTTGCTGGTCTACCCTACCCAACACGCAGCCTCTATGTCTGGGTCTTAAGTGACTATTCCAGCTCCAGCATCATGCCTTTGTCTCTGCCAACAGAAGAGTACAAGCAGAAGACATGGCCATTCCTTTTAAGGTCAAGATCCAGTAGTGGTACACATTGCTTCTACTCCTACCTTATTAATGGACATTTAGTCAACATAGCCACACTGAGATGCATAAGAGCCTGGGAAATGTAATCTTTAGCTGACAGCTACCTGCCCATCTAAAAACCTATCACTGTAAGAAGAATGGAAGAACACACAGCTGGAGAGAAGTAGCAGTCTCTGTCACTATCTACTTTTCTACTGGGCTCTTATCTTTTCTGTTGGGGTTTTTAGTCTATTCTAGATAGTTTCCTGTTCTATTATTACTGATTTGTGCAGATGCCTTATTTATTGAAGAAATTTAGTCTCTTGTGGTTTTAGTTTTTACAAATATCTTTTCCCAATCTGATATTTGTCTATTAACTTTATATCTTTCATTGCTGCTTGCAAATAGATTAGCTTTTGTTTGACTTCACTTCTTTCTTGTAGGAACTTGCTAAAAATGGCAAGAACTAGATCATACATTCTAATTTCTTCTAATTTCTCTCCATAGAAGTGTGGCATCTTTCATTTTTCAAAACATCTTTCATTTTTATTTAACCAAATCCGTCAATTTTTGTTTAGGATTTATAGAGCTAATGTGAGTACATTAACTACTTGCCTATACATGATAATAGTAATTTTCATTACCTTTATATAAGTTATATATGACATATACACACGTATATGTAATAATGAAATCTATGCACAGAAATATATACTTGTATATTTGTTTCTTAAAAGAACAGGTATGAGGTGATTTATTTTTTCATTGTTTATAGTACCAAGATGTTGCAGGAAATTTAGGTGTTCATTACTGGAGAAAAGCTTAAGTAAAATCTGGTGCTATGCAGTGAATAGACACAACAGATCTAATGTATAATAGTAATATAGGTAGATGTTAAAAACAGTGCTGATTGAAAAATCAGAAACAGATTGAAGCATATATTATGATATCAGTGTACTACTCAATGATGTATCCATAAAGTTGTACAATGCAGTGTGATTTTTTAAGAAGGAAAGAATTAGAAATAAGCCAAATCCATCATGTGGGATTGGCTAAATAAAGACTAGTACATAGACATAGTGGAATAATATGGAGCTGTAAAAAAGAGAAAGTTCTCTATATTCCCATGGAAGGATCTTCAAAAAATATTACGTAAAAAGACAAAGTACAAAGCAGTGTATCTGGTAAGTTACTTTTTTGTGCAAAAGAGAGGACAAAAATATCTGTATTTATATTTCCTTTATTTAAACAAAGAAATACTGGAAGGATAGATAAGAGAGCAATAAATGTGGTTACCTGTAGTGGGTGGGTAGGAGGTGGGAACAGGGTGGATGGGAGATAGGGATGTGAGGGAGAATTTTCACTGTTTACCTTAAAAAAAAAAATATATATATATATATATATTTGTATTTATATATGTATAAAATATGTGTTTATACTTCTTTTTAACTCAGAAAAGCCTTATTTTTTATTTAGCTTTCTGACTGTGTTCTTGTGCCTTCAACACTTTCACAATGATTTTCTGCTCCTTATATAAAGAAACTGCACTTGATCCTGTCATGCACACATTTAGCGCATGTGGAACTACCATGGGCCTCACTGCCATGTTTTTCATTTTAGAGAACTTCGTAAGAACTTTAAAATTTTATTTATTTATTTGAGACAGAGCGTGCACACTCACGTGAGCAGGGGGAGAGGAAGAAGGAGAGGGAGAGCGAGAATCTCAAGCAGACTCCTGGCTGAGAGAGGAGCCCTACCCAGCTTGATCTCAGGAACTCTGAGATCATGACCTGAGCTGAAATCAAGAGTCAGACATTTAACCAATGGAGCCACCCAGCGCCCCTAGAACCTCCTAAGAACTTAAAGTCTCACAGCACAAGTTCCTTAAAAATGGACTGAGCACACTCCACATGCAAATTTTGCTGGTTTCCCAATCTTCTTGGTATAAAGGTAAACAATTCCATTACCAGCATTGGGGACAGCCTAGTTTTGCTAGAGGCTGTATTGTATAATACCCTATGATAGTGCATCACATGCTGGAACATCCTGAATGCCTCTAGACACTGGCCCCAGAAGACTGAAAAATATTTTAAACAATGAGAATGTATAGTATGTATTTAAAAAATTAAAAAAAAATAAAAAATTAAGAATACACACACATAATATACTACATGTATTAAAAGACTTATACAAAAAAAATAAAAGACTTATACAAATATATGTATTGCAACGGCACACAAATAAAATGAAACTGTATAAACACATTGTTGGGTTGTCCAAAGCATAAGAGAACAATGGGAGTGGGGAATTCAGATTAAAAAGGAATAGATAAATAAAAATTAGAAAGGAGCCCAGACCAAACCAGTGACGAATATGGGCCCGAGAGTTAAAAAAGAAAAGAAATAGTAAATCTTAAGGAAGAGGTATTTCCATTTCTTTAGTACTTTTTGAGAGGAAAAATAGTTTCTGACAGTTTGCTGCACTTTCATTTCCCAGACTATGAGGGAAAGTTTGAACACTGGCCTAATTGGCCATACTTAAATAGAAGCAGGTAAAAATGTCTGTTGAGTATATTTCTAACTCAACTTATTCAACATTACAAAGAGAACATGAAATTTTATTCCCTTGCTTGAATAAAGAATTAAAGGGAATAATAAGTTAATAGAAGAAGAGAAAGTACTAAAGTAATAAGTTATGAAAAGGATATGGAATTATGCTGGAGCTAGATAATAAAATTCTATCAAGGTAACAGAACACCAACCTGTCCTTTATCCATGTCACTATTTGCATTCTCTGAGTCCATTGTCTCTGTCCTTTTCCTCTTTCCTTTTCTAAGAGCTTGGGTATTGGTAATGTCATCTGTTTGCAAGATCTTCTGCATTTTCTCAAGTAGTTATCAAAGATTTTCTGAAATTGTAGGAAGAGGGAATACTCATGTAGATGATGCTATTCTGGATGTAGCCCCCAAATTAACGCTTTTCCTTAAAAACAAAAACAAAAAAGGATAATGTATTTACCACTATATGTTTCATAACGGCATTAGCCACTCAAGTAAAGTACTTTTACTAAATGCTTCCTATCTCCTGTTGACCAATTTTGTACACATTTTCATTTGATTCAAAATCTTTCAATTTCATCATCATCATGGGGATGTCACGTTTCCATTATGTGAGTAATATGCAATGAGTTGTCACTTATAAAATGAAATAGTGTAAAAATATTTTCCATCTTCACAAGTTTTTTCTTGTCTGTCAGTTATAAGGAGTCTAAAAACCAACATAGAAACACAATAGATTTATGCAAACAGTATTTCACAGGACTGAAGTTATAAAAGGCATTAATAGTAGATCTCACCAGGATCAACATATTCCAAGGCAGATCAATAAGAATTGTTTAGAAGTTTGTTTTGTTTTTTTTTCTGAAAACTCTCTACTTTTGAGGTGGAAGATTTTACTTGGTGTAAATTTAAGAATTTACCATAAAGAATGGAAGAAAAATATGTCTCAAAAGCAAAGATGTATTTCACAAAAAAATTTAAGGGTTAATCATTTTTCAAAACCTGAAAAGCAGATGACAATTCTTAGGTAGTAGCAGGGTTGAAATGATCAAATTTAATTTTTGCTATGCACAGATGATGTGCATTTGGTCGTAGCATCCTTATTACTTGCGTATATTGATTTTTTCTGTGAAAAGATATTTAATTATAAATAATAACACTTTAAATACAGAAGGGGCTGAACTTAAAGGTGCTCCTTACCAAATTATACTAAATAGGGGATCCCTGGGTGGCTCAGCGGTTCAGTGCCTGCCTTTGGCCCAGGGCGTGATCTTGGAGTCCTGGGATCCAGTACCACATCGGGCTCCCTGCATGGAGCCTGCTTCTCCCTCTGCCTGTGTCTCTGCCTCCCTCCCTCCCTCCCTCCCTCTCTCTCCCTCTCTCTCTCTCTCTCTCTATATATATATATATATATATATATATATATATAATCTTTAAAAAATTATACTAAATAATTCTTTCAGGAAATATGGTACTTTTACCTACTTTAAGAGAAATTCATCTTTCTTTAAGCATAAATTAATATTTGGGATTGTCTAGCAAAAATTGCTTGTTGTGACTTTCGGAAAACTTACTTTGGGTTTTTAAATATATATGAATAATATTTGAACTCACATGTGGGACTGGACTGTCACATCTGACTCACAAATATCAGGGATTTTACCTAACATCAAACTTTATTAATAATTTCAATGATATAAGAAATAAAGAGGCACAGGTCAAGTAGGGAGAGGTGTAGGGCATCCTGCTGGCTTTGTAGGTTGTTCCTTCTCAGATCAGGTTGATATTCTCTTGACTAGGATAAGTGAGGTCTCTAAATGAGGTTTGAGGGTCACCTTGCACAGTGGAGAGTTTAAGTTGTCACACATTTCCATTTTATATCTCCATTTTATACCTCAGAGTTGAATAGCTTGCATGACCTTTTCTAGGAAGTTATAAACCCATACATTCTAGGAATGTCAGCCATAAACAATCTTAAATCAGGTATATCAATTAAGAGCACTCCATAGATAAAATCTCCACTCCTAGCAAATATTGTTAACCAATTTACCCAGAGCAAGGTCAACAAACATTTTCTGTAAAGGGTCATATATTAAATATTTTAGGCTTTGCAGGTCAAGAGGCAAAATCAAGGATACTATGTAATTCTTATATAGCAAAAGAGAAAACAAAATTTCACAAAATTTTATTTATATAACTGAAAATATACTACTACTTTTTGTAAGACAGTTCAACTAATGAGAATAGAACTAAAAAAAATGACATCTTGTTTAATTGGGGTTTAAAATTTTCCCTTTCATCAAAATCATTTGCAAGTATTTATTTGTTAATGCTGACATGCAATGAAATTTTATGTATTCCATGTTTGAAAAAAAAAGAATGTCCTTTCATTCAGAGAGAACAAAAATGTTTTTTAAACTTGGGTTGCGGTGGTGATTGCACAACTCTGTGAATATACAAAAAAAAATATTGAATTATATACTTCAAATGGGTGAATTGCGTGGCATGTGAATAACACTTCGATAAAGCTATTTAAAAAACAAGTCATAAGTTTGAATATCTTCTGCAAAGTACCTACTGATAAATAATAAAATGAGTAACAGTAGGCTTTATTTTTTTATTTTTTAAAGATTTATTTATTTATTCATTCAGAGAGAGCGAGAGAGAGGCAGAGACACAGGCAGAGGGAGAAGCAGGCCCCATGCAGGAAGCCCGATGTGGGACTCGATCCCGGGCCTCCAGGATCACACCCTGGGCTGCAGGCGGCGCTAAACCGCTGGCCACTGGCGCTGCCCAACAGTAGGCTTTAAACACCTTATTTTTTCAAAGTTTTGTAAATTTGTCTTACTAAACCTTTTTCTGCTTCACACACATTTTTACCCCATCAGTTGTAACACATCTTAGTAGATTCTGCTTCAGGTTGTGCTGAATCATTGTTTTCTCAACTTCTTTGAAAATATTCTCTTTCATAGTTGTTTCACAAAGACTGTTTACAGACGTTAATTTGTCTGTCACTCAAACTCAGCAATTACTCCCAAATAAACAAGAACTGAGCAGTATCAGTGGCATCTATTGACCCATCAAACACCAAGAAAAACTCAGTCATTTGCCGTGCGTTTTAATTGATTATTATATTCTTCCCGATGTTCTCAGTTCTTTGAGCAACTGTTTTTGCTGAGAGTCTAATGATCTTAAGTAAATTAATTTTTTTTCTGGGTACATGTCTTTAGCTACTGCAATGAAGCATGATTTAATTAACTCACTACCTGTTAATGATTTTCCTTGTTTGGGTAACAAATGAAGCACTCAGAAACTTATTTTGGATACAGACTCACTTTCATTTAATTTTGTTTGTTTGTTTAGTAAGCTCTGCATCCAACATGGGGTCTGAATTTATGACCCCAAGACCAAGAGTCGCATTCTCCACTGACTGAGCCAGCCAGGCACCACCATTTCTTATTTTTGTGAAGAAAGTATTTGTGAAGAAGTATCTCAGGGATGAGATACTTCACTTTACATTTTCTAATCATTTTGGCTGTTGCTGTTCTGTGAATTGGAAATATTGTCATGAGTGCTTAGTTTGGTAATGTTGACATATATCATGTTCTTTTAGTACACCTACAGTGTCACTGTATCATGAACACAATGCTTTGTCACTTAATTTGATAACAAAATAATCCAAACTCCACTCTACTTTAAAGAGTGGAGTTTTTCTCTTTCTTTGTTTTTTGACATGATTGGCATGCCCTAGTAATAAAAAAATAAAAGAAGATGCCACAGTGTGACAATATGCATGATACTAAAATACCATGAAGTTATTATAACTGCATTACTGTGATTTGTGGGGCACTGAACAGCAGTATAAAGTGTTGAGATTGTCTCATACGGTTTCTGTCACAAATACTCAACTCTGCCCTCATTGCATGAAAGCAACCATAACAATATGTAAAAACATAAGTGTGCATATGCTCTAATAAAACTATTTATGGACACTGCAACTTTAGTTTTACATAATTTTCACATATCATGGTATGGTCTTCTTATATTGATTTTTTCAACTATTTAAAAATGTAAAGAACATTCTTAGCTTACAGGCTGTACAAAAACAGGTGGCAGGCAGATGAGCAGTAGTTTGCTGAACCCCATGGGGGCTCAGTTATCATACTTAAATGGAGTTTAAACTGTATCATCTGCTTTCTTTTCTTTCATCTTCATTTCTTTTCCTGCAGAACAAGACAGCTGCTTTAACGTCTTTTTCCCCAGTGCCTTACTTCACTGTACATTACTAATAAATTAAGAACAGTACCCAAGGGGGGATCCCTGGGTGGCGCAGTGGTTTAGCGCCTGCCTTTGGCCCAGGGCGCGATCCTGGAGACCCGGGATCGAATCCCACGTCAGGCTCCCGGTGCATGGAGCCTGCTTCTCCCTCTGCCTATGTCTCTGCCTCTCTCTCTCTCTGTGTGTGACTATCATAAATAAAATAAATAAAAATTAAAAAAAAAGAACAGTACCCAAGAGACATAATACACAGTATGTAAGATCCCACAGCAAATTGTTATTTGATAAAATTAAATTTTTCCAGGTTTAACTGATAGGGACCTATTAAGTATCATTTAGTGATGGTGAGAGATGCCAGATTCCTAGGTCATTGGGGTTGAGGATAACTCCAGCGTAGAAGGAATGGAAAGGGGATTATTGTTGAATTGGGTATAGAATTTCAGTTTTGCAAGATGAAAGGGTTGTGAAGATGGCTGGTGGTCATGGTCACACAACAATGTGAATATACTAAATGCTTCTAAATGACATGCCTTAAAATGGTTAAGATGGTAAATTTTATGTTATGTCTTTTTACCACAATAAGAAAATTGGAGAAAATTAGTTTATAAAAACATTGTTTTTGTAATATGCCTACCTGTACTAAAATTTTTTACTACTATTATGATTTAGTTAAGGAGCAAATCTCAAGTTTCTTCAAAAACACACAATTCTTTCAAGACTAACCAGAAGGGACATATCAAACCTCTTTTAGAACGACAACTTTTCAGTAGACTTCAGGCCAGTATTCTGTTATAACATCTAGGGACAGATGATTCAATGTTTATATTACCTGACAATTAACAAATTCAGAAAGGATATTGTGAATTTGGTTATATATTAAATTCTCCTCTTAATTCTTGATAGTAGGAAATTCACCATGGAGTTATCTTCCCCTCTTTATTTTTTGCTAGCAGAAAGCATTTCATTAATTCCCTGGGTAGTACTTGTAGGATGTGAAATGAAACATAAACACAAGTCATGAGAACACCCATGATATGTGGCTAACTGGGTAATATAAATCAGTGGCTTTCAACCATTTTTGGTGGCTCACAGTAAAAAATACAGTTTACATTTTGATCCAGGAAACACACACACAAAACTAAAACA